CCGATATAATAAGTCCAGGTCTAGGTGTATATATATAAAAAAAATTATATATATATATATATATATATATATATATATATATATATATATATATATATATATATATATATATATATATATATATATATATATATATATAGTGTATGTCAGCCAGCCTTTAGGGGGTGGGCAGTGAGGCAGTGTTGTACTGTTCATCGCTTCACACCCAAAAACCTCATTTTAAGTAGTATCCTGAACCATGGTTTGGTTAAGAGGTCGTCTCCATCCTCTCACTCCTGGGACGGGACACTGAAAGAGGGACCCAGTCCCACATCAGCGGGCTGGAGGAGTCCTTCTCTTCACCACCGGGAAAGTTCATTCGACATTGCAGAGCGTGTCTAGGACCTGACCTATGTGTGGGAGCGTCCATATGTTCCGGTCAACTCGAACCTCCACGCATCTGACGACTCTTCAAATGTTATGTAAACCTTTTCACACCTCTCTACATTTAAGAACATAACACGACACCTGTACCACCTAAACAATGTCTACATACCCTACACTACACAACACGTTGCTGTAACATAAATGAAGCGTGTTTACGCTTAGCATGAACTATTGCTCGGGAATTGTCACCCTCGCCTCGGAGTTTTCCTCCAGCCTGAAAATCTAAAGTAAATGTTGAGGTTTTCCCTCAGTGGCGATTGGCGACTACATCCCGTTGCAGTGTTAGTGTCACACACACCACAGTGTGAATGTTGAATTGTGTGTCTGGGCTAGGCATTCTCTTGATTGTATACAGGTGCTGAAATTTTATTCTCCGAAGAAAAATTTTTCTTAGTAGGGGCGATTGTCATGGGTTGCGTTAGGCTTACCCACGCAACCAACTCCAAAGTTTGTTTTACCAGAGATAAGACGCCCGGCGAGGCATAACTGGGACATGTATTTTTCAATTAGTGTATGTTAGCCAGCCTTTAGGGGGGTGGGCAGTGAAACAGTGTTGTACTGTTCATCGCTTCACACCCAAAAACCTCATTTTGAGTAGTATCCCCTGAGCCATGGGTTAGTTAAGACGTCTCCATCCTCTCCCTCCTGAAGGGGGGCGGGACACCACACCACACAGAGTCCTCCACCGCACTCCGTCCTGTGAACCGTCGTCGACACGAGACTAAGCGTGTTAACCTAGGTTTGTTGTCCCCGTGGAAATATCACGTGTGGATGCCTGGTTGCGACAAGAGCAATCCAGGCTGGCCTATCAAACCTACAGTAAATGGTTAATTAATTCACGCTTACAGAGTTCTCCTGCACGACACCCGTCTACCGTGACCGTGATCGACACGAGACTAAGTGTGTTAACCTAGGTTTGTTATCCCCGTGGAAATATCACGTGTGGAAGCCTGGTTGCGACAAAAGCAATCCAGCTGGTCTATTGCACCTAATGGTTAATTCAAGTCACGCTTACCAGTTCTACTTGCCGCGACAACCGTCCACAGTGACTGTCAGTGACGCGAGACTATGTGTGGTAACCCAAGAGTACCTTTTTGTTGTTATGGCCGTGGGAAGAAGTTCTTGTGATGAAGCCTGGTTGCAACAAAAGCAATCCAGGCTGGCAGTAAATGTATCACTTGAAGAATTAAGGCTCTGTTAAGTCACACCCATAGTAGAGTAACCACATGTGTCCCCAAGTTGAAAATTCCCTGTTTTAGAAGATTAATTTTATTACAGCGTGAACGTGAGTAAATCATATATCCATGCAAATTGTAAATCATTGTATGGAAGCTTGACAAATAAATGTAAGTGCAATTATCTGCCCGTATCTGTGATCCTATCTTATTATTACTAAAGGTAATGACTGATTGGTTATGACATAGTATAACCAATAACTTAGATGGATGTTGAAAATTAAATGAATTCATTAAATCATCATTTATCAAGTATAAATCATGGAATGTCGAGTGGTGGAGTGAACTTCTACGTAGATACGCCATAATCTCCTGTAAGTAATCAGTGTGAAGGTATCGGACTCTACGGTAAGAAATAAGAAATACGACATATTATTATCTTTGTATAATATAATCCTCCTACCATAACCACCCAAAAACTTGACACTATATAAATATAAATATATATATAAATATATAAATATAAATATATATATATATATAAATATATAAATATATATATATATATAAATATATAAATATATATATATATAAATATATAAATATATATATATATAAATATATAAATATATATATAAATATATATATAAATATATATATAAATATATATAAATATATATATAAATATAAGTAACTATATATAAATATATATATATATATATATATATACATATATATATATATATATATATATAAATATATATATATATATATATATAAATATATATATATATATATATATATATATAAATATATATATAAATATATATATAAATACATATATATATGCTTCCTTCCTTAGGCTTTTTTTAAGCATTTGCCTCCAGGTGTAATGTTAACCTACATCTATTGAGGATAAAATCTTTCACCTACAAACTGACAATAACACATTTGCTGTAATCAGACATATCTAGTTGCCTCAACAATTGCAACCCCAGTTGCAATTGGGGTTGCAATTTCAAATTCTGTGGCATTACTAAGAATAACTAAGTCTCTGGTGCGCTCTAAGATTAAGAGAGAAAACGGAGGACTCGGGCGTCCTGATGAGAGAAAAAGGACTCGTATGATGGGGGACCAAATAAAAAAAGCATAGCTACATGTTTTGTGGACTACAGTATTAAGCGTACCCTTTTTTATCACTTTGTAATAAACCTAGCCATGCCTATGTGTGTTTATGATATTTACCATAACATTATATATATATATTTAGTGGGTCTAAATGGTCGTAAAATAAGAAACTTGGGGTTGGGTCTTGGGTGCCTGGAACCAATCAGAATAAATCCCATAGGTTCTGTACTTTCATTATCGGCGGGGTCCCAATTAGGCGTGATAACCAAGGGATGATTGTACTGTACTGTATATACTTGTGACACTGGCCAGTTGCTTCTGGTGTTATGGTACAGGGGTACCAAGTGACAGCACTAGGATCCCGCTTCCTCTATCAAGGAATAAACATTTAAAATTTAAATTGGAAAAAAAAAATAATAAAAATTTAGGAGTTCGGGATTGACGGTTAATCCGAAAGTCGGTTAATCGAGGTTTAACTGAAATGATAAATATGGAACAACTCTGAGTGTCTGGATTGGAGATCAGACTAAATGCAATGTGCCACTAAACACTGGTTATTCAACAGAAAGCCATAAATTTATACAGTGACCCCTCCGTTAACGAACTCAATCCGTTCCAGAAGGTCGTTCGTTAACCGAAAAGTTCGTTAAGTGAAACCATTGTTTCAATGGGTTGTTGGGTAATTGGTTCCAGCTCACCGAAAATTTCCTAAATTCAACAAAAATGGTAGAAAAGTTCACTTACTTTGAGGTGTGTATGTAGAAGGCTCCTGGATGATGATGATGATGGGATTTAGAATGGGGGTGGAGGAGAAGGAAGAAGAGAAGGCATTGGGGTGGAAGAGAAGTCACCCCATGGCACCATTTCACCCATAAAATTTTAGCTCTCTTGGTGTAATTCAAGATTATTTTCTTTAAATCAACACTGCACTGCATTATATATTGTCAATATGTAAAATATATTTCAAAATGACCAATAATTTGCTTGGAAACACAGAAAAAAGCATTTAGTTGAAGAGAGTCTCAAGCAAGATGTTACCTCCAGTGAAAACAGAGAGAGACAGTAACTCCTGTTTGCTGTGTTAAGAGGCTGGATGCCGCGCATTAAACTAGTCACTTTACCTTCAATTATGTTCAATAATTGTTAAAATGACTAAAAATTGAATATTAAACTTTAAAATTATTGAATAGTATAAACTTCTTGATATTTACTAAAATAGTAAGGAATTTAAGCCCTAGATCCGATTAATGTATTGGCGGACTGATACTAAAGCTGGTTGCCTGGTTAGTGCAAGCGAAAACATGTTGAGGTCGGTTACGTAAGAACTTCGTTAATCGAATTTTTTTCGTTAACGGAATTGAAGATCCTTATGGAAGGCAGTTCGTTAATCGAAATTACGTTAACCGAGGTGTTCGTTAAACGAGGGGTCACTGTATAATGATTTACAGGAAGAGGAAGGTGCATCCTCTGAGGTTAAACCTTTTCTAGCTAGTAAAGGCTGGTTTGAAAGGTTTAAGAAACGCCTTAATTTACACAACATAAAAATGACCAGTGAAGCTGCCAGTGCTGATATAGATTCTGCTAATAAATATCCTGCTGAGCTGAAGAAAATTATTGATGAAGGAGGTCACACACCAGAACAAGTGTACATGTTGATGAAGCTGGGCTTTTCTGGAAGTTCAGGCCTGCTAGAACTTTTTATTTCCACTGAAGAAAAATCAGCACCAGGCTTTAAAGCATCCAAAGAGCGTTTAACACTTCTTGTGAAAGGAAATGCTTCAGGTGACATAAAATTAAAGCCCCTACTAGTGAATCACTCTGAAAATCCAAAGGCTCTCACGGGCTATGCCAAGTCTAATCTACCTGTGATTTGGCGTTCCAATAAGAAGGCTTGGATGACTATGACCCTTTTCCAAGACTGGTTCATTAACTTTTTTTGCCTTGCTGTAGAAAGATATAATGCCAGGCATAACATATCTAATAAAGCATTGCTCCTCTTTGACAATGCACCAAGCCACCCAGTAAATTTAAATGGTTTTTCTGATAATGTGAGAGTGGAGTACATCCCCACGAACACAACTTCCTTGCTCCAGCCAATGGATCAAGGTGTGATAGCTAACTTTAAGGCATATTATCTTAGGAAAACTTTTTTGCAGCTCATAAAAGCAATTGATGGGGAGGATAAACCTACAATTAGGGACTTCTAGAAAAAGTTCAACATTTTGGATGCTGTGGATAATATAGCCGAGTCCTGGGATGAAGTGAAAACCTCAGCTATGAATGGTTCATGGAAAAACATATGACCAGTGTGTGTCCATGAATTTCAAGGTTTTTCACAAGCTGAAAGTTTACAGCAAGTTCAACAAGATATTGTGACACTTGCAAATAATGTAGGCTTTGAAGAAGTCATAGAAAATGGTGTGGTTGAATTGCTAGAGTCCCATAGAGAAGATTTGACTAATGAAGATCTGATGATGTTGGAACAAGAGTGAGCTGCAGGACAAGAAGAGGATATAGAATCTCTACCCACCCCACTTCAGTTGACAGCAAAGGATATGTCTGAAGGGTTTGTACTAATACAGGAAGGTCTGCAAATCTTTGCTGATAACGCCCCAACCGTGAAAGGAACATCAAGATTGCAAGAGCAGTTAACAATGCTCTCAGTTCCTACACTGGGCTGTACAAGAAGAAGGTGCGACATAAACGTCAAACAACTTTGGATGAGTTATTCACCCTCAGAGAAAAGCCAAAAGCAGATGATGATGTGCAGGGCAGAAGAGAGTAGTGCCTCTCCCTCCCAATAACTCCCTTTGCACCACCAATCCTCACGCAGCAGTCAACATCATAACGAATGTAATTGGTTCCAGAACCTCGTTCGTTATAGC